AGAGAGAGAGAGATGAGAGAGAGAGAGATGAGAGAGAGGGAGGAGAGATAGAAATCCTAGAGAAAGAGAGAGTGCTTAAAGTGAAAAAGGAGATAGAGATCCCAAAGAAGAGACATAGAGAAAGATATCCAAAACAGAGAAAGTGTGCATCTAAAGAGAGAGAGAGAAAGATAGCAAATAGAGATCTGAGGGAGAGAGAGAGAGATGCAAGAATGAGAGTGACAGAGATCCTAGAGAAGGAGAGATCCTAAAGAAAGAGAGAAGAGAAATTCAAAAGAGAGAGATCCTAAAGAGTGCTTTGAAAGAAAGAAGATCTTAAAAAGGGAAAAAGAGAGATCTTAAGGAGAGAGATAAAGATCTTAAAGAGAAACAGAAAGAGATCTTAGGGAGAGAGATATCTTAGAGAGATCTTAAAGAGATCTTAAAGAGAGAGAGAAAGAGAGAAATCCTGAAAAGGGAGAGAAACAGAGAGAGATCCTAAAGAGGGAGTGAGAAAGAGGAAGAGATCTTAAAGAGGGAGAGAGAGAGAGAAGGGAGAGGGGGGGGGGAGAAAAGAGGGAGAGAGAGATCTTCAAGAGAGAGATAGAGATCTTCAAGAGAGAGATAGAGATCTTCAAGAGAGAGATAGAGATCTTCAAGAGAGAGATAGAGATCTTCAAGAGAGAGGGAGGGAGAGAGGGAGAGATCTTCAAGAGAGAGAGAGAGGGAGAGATCTTCAAGAGAGAGAGAGGGAGAGATCTTAGAGAGAGGAAGAGATCTTCAAGAGAGAGAGGGGGAGAGATCTTCAAGAGAGAGAGGGGGAGAGATCTTCAAGAGAGAGAGGGGGAGAGATCTTCAAGAGAGAGAGAGGGAGAGATCTTCAAGAGAGAGAGAGGAAGAGATCTTCAAGAGAGAGAGAGGGAGAGATCTTCAAGAGAGAGAGAGAGAGAGGGAGAGATCTTCAAGAGAGAGAGAGGGAGAGATCTTCAAGAGAGAGAGAGGGAGAGATCTTCAAGAGAGAGAGAGGGAGAGATCTTCAAGAGAAAGAGAGGGAGAGATCTTCAAGAGAGAGAGAGGGAGAGATCTTCAAGAGAGAGAGAGGGAGAGATCTTCAAGAGAGAGCGAGGGAGAGATCTTCAAGAGAGAGAGAGGGAGAGAGATCTTCAAGAGAGAGAGAAAGATCTTCAAGAGAGAAAGATCTTCAAGAGAGAGAAAAAGATCTTCAAGAGAAAAATCTTCAAGAGAGAGATCTTCAAAAGAGAGAGAAAGATCCAAAAGAGAAAAGGCGTGCATCTAAAGAGAGAGAGAGATAGCAAATAGAGATCCCAAGGAGGGAGAGAGAGATCTAGGAGAGGGAAAGAGAGAAAGAGATCTAGGAGAGAGAGAGAGAGAGATCTAGGAGAGGGAGAGAGAGAGAGAGAGAGAGATCTAGGAGAGGGAGAGAGAGAGAGAGAGAGAGAGAGAGATCTAGGAGAGGGAGAGAGAGAGAGAGAGAGAGAGATAGATCTAGGAGAGGGAGGGAGAGACAGAGAGGGATCTAGGAGAGGGAGAGAGAGAGAGATCTAGGAGAGGGAGAGAGAGAGAGAGATCTAGGAGAGGGAGAGAGAGAGAGATCTAGGAGAGGGAGAGAGAGAGAGAGATCTAGGAGAGGGAGAGAGAGAGATCTAGGAGAGGGAGAGAGAGAGAGATCTAGGAGAGGGAGAGAGAGAGAGATCTAGGAGAGGGAGAGAGAGAGAGATCTAGGAGAGGGAGAGAGAGAGATCTAGGAGAGGGAGAGAGATCTAGGAGAGAGAGAGATCTAGAAGAGGGAGAAAGATCTAGGAGAGGGAGAGAGATCTAGGAGAGGGAGAGAGTGAGAGAGAGATCTAGGAGTGGGAGAGAGAGAAATCCTAATAAAGAGACTTTAAAGAGAGAGGAGAGAATCAAAAGAGAGAGATCCTAAGGAGAGAGAGATTTTAAAGAAAAAGAGAAAGATCTTAAGGAGAGAGAGATAGAATTCTTAGAAAGCGGGAGAAATCTCAGAGGGATATCTTAGAGACAGTGAAAGAGATCCTAGAAAGAGAGAGAGAGAGATCTGAAAGAGAAAGACATCCTAAAGAGAGAGGGAGATCCTAAAGATAGAGAGATCTTAGAGAAAAAGAGATCCTAGAGAGAAAGATATTCAAAAGAGAGAAGGCGTGGATCTAAAGAGAGAGAAAGATAGCAAATAGAGATCCGACGGAGAGAAAGAGAGAGATCCAGGAGAGGGAGAGAGATGCAATAGTCGGAGAGATCCTAAAGAGAGAGAAATAGATCCTAAAGAGAGATTTTAAAGAAAGAGAAAGATCTTAAAAAGAGAAAAAGAGAGATCTTAAGGAGAGAGAGATAAAGATCTTAAGGAGAGAGATAGAGATCTTAAGGAGAGATAGAGATCTTAAAGAGAGACATCCTAAAGATAGAGAGAGATATACCAAAGAGAGAAAGAGATCCTAAAGAGATCCTTGGGAGAGAGGGAGAGAGAGAGAGGGAGGGAGGGAGAGAGAGAGAGAGATCCTAAAAAGAGAGAGAGATCCTGAAGAGAGAAAGAGATCCTAAAGAGAGAGAGAGAGAGAGAGAAGGATATCCTAAAGAGAAAGATAAAGATATCCCAAAGAGAGAGAAGGAGACCCTAAAGAGAGATTAAGAGATCCTAAAGAGAGAGAGAGAGAAAGAGATCCTAAAGAGAGAGAAAGAAAGAGACCCTAAAGAGAAAAAGAGATCTTAAAGAGAGAAACAGATCCTAGAGAGAGAGAGAGAGAGAGAGAGAGAGAGAGAGAGAGAGAGAGAGAGAGAGAGAGAGAGAGATCCTAAAGAAAGAGACAAAACGATACTAAAGAAAGAGAGAGAGAGAGAGAAAGAGGTCCTAAAGCGAGAGAAAGAGATTCTAAAGAGAGAGAGTAGAGATACGAAAAAGTGTGGCGACAAAGAATTCGAGGAGAAAGAAAGGCAAAAATAAAAAGAAAGAAGGAAAAGTGGTTGGAAGGAAGCGAAAAATTGGGAGGGAAAAGCAGAAAAGACAGGAAGAAAAGTGGGAGGAAAGAGATAAAGAAAAGAAGAATAAAAGAGGCGGGAGAGAGAGAAAGGAAAAGAAGTAGGGAGCGGAAAAGAGTGAAAAAAGGCAAAAAAAAACACAGGGAAACGAAAGGACAGAAAAGGACTGAGCGAGGAAAGAGAGAGGAAAAAAGAAAATTTACGTCACACATCTCAACTTACGTTAGTCTCGCTGTCCCTAATGAGAAAGTCCCCGTCGTGCCCCCTCTGGTTCAGCAGGTTGTCGCACATGTACCGCGTGATGCTCCCGTAGTACCACGGCTTGTCGATCAGATGTGGTTTATCGCCCATCGTCACCTGCGACCTCTCCATCTCCTGCTTGCCCCTGTCGACGAACGGCTGCGTCAGGTACTCGGAGAGCTCCTGCAGGTAGTTCCTCGGCACCAATCCGACCTGGCCTTGCGCGTTCCTCGCCTTGTACCACTCGGGGTCGCTCGGCGGCCTGTCGAGGATCTCGAGCCGGTCGCCCTTCTCGAAAGACAGCTCCTGGTCGTTCGTCGACGAGAACGAGTACAGCGCGACGACGATGTCGAGCACGTTCTCGGCCATCGCGTACGTGTGCAGCGTGTCGTCGGCGTCGCCTTCTTCCTGCGTGTAGTTCGAGGGAAACCAGCCGGCGACGTTGCCGCTCTGGCCGCGCCACCAGCCGTCGTTGCTCTTCTCGAGGATAAGGATGCGGGAGCCCTTGACGAGCGAGAGTTCATCGGGCTGCTGGGCTTGGTAGTTGTACTTGACGACGGCGGTGCCGATGGCCTCGGAGGGGTCGGCGGCGGCACGCCGCGCCATGCTGGGGGACTCGACGGTCCGCGAGGGGGAGTTGTTCGAGGGGAGGGTCTTGGAGCCGCCGCCTTTTTTTACCTGCGAACCGAGAACGGAACATCATCGGGGAGAAAGTTTTAAGAAGGCGGCTCATTTTTACGATTGTATGATTTCTTGATGTTATATCCCTTTCAGAAAGTCGATGACGTCAACGTAAATAATTATTAAACAAGTTTTTACTGAAAAATATTCCGAGTTAATATTTATTCCGGTAATTACAGTTGGAAAAATACAAAAAAGCAACACCAACAAAAAATTACCTTGGATAAACTGAAGTTTTGTGAGTTTTTTTTGTAACCAATAAACTGCATCTTCGTTTTAACAGCACGACTAATTTCCACAAATATCTAACAGTCAATATGTCGCAGAATTAATGTAATTAATGTTTCGTAGTGAACGACGCACAACATTAACATTGGGTGTATTGACTGATTATTGCAAATACTGCAATCTGACCAAACAAAGATAAAATATGTAAACGTTTGAAATCACAGAGACTTTAATTATTTACAATGCACTCAACCATTTGTGTTTTGACAAACTCCGAGTGGTCGTTCGTCTTGAGAAATAGTCGGGGAAGTGGTGAGGTCGAGAAGTGCACTCAGTCGCCGGTATCGTTCCTAAATATTTTACAACTCGACCATTTGCCATCGTAAAAAAATCGGGAAAAATTTACGCGACTAGAGCGTCCAATAATGGCCTCTCAATAACAATAAACAACCCAAATAGACGTTTTAACTGCCGAAATATTATCACTAAAGCAAGGATCAAATGAGTCATAAAAAACATTTGGAGTATTTCGCGTCTGCTATCTCTTTATCTGTATGGATCACCGATCTTAAACCCTGCCCAAACAAGCCACAACTGGCCCACAACATACCGTTACCTTTTTCTTGATACTGTCGAACAGCGAGGGCTTCTCCTTCTTGACGTAGTTACTCGGGACGTACCCAGCCTGGTTCCTCGAGTTCTGCACCTTCCACCAGTGCTTGGAGTCATCGAGCAGCAAATACCTCTCGTTCTTCCTAAGGTCGAGTTCCTGTGGCCCCTGCGCCGCGTAGTCGTACTTGGCCACGACATGGCAAATGTCATCCTGACCAGTTTTGCCTGCGGAACACAAGAAGAATCAAAGTCGCGCCGCGAACTCACGACCCAAGCACTAACCATGTCTGATAATTGGTGCAGCCATCGAATGGGGTGTCGATTTAGCGGCGAAATTACTCTTAGCTTGCCAAGACGGCTCTGGCATTCCACGAACAGATCGGGTCTCCAACATGACCACAAGCACAACTATCTAGTGCTAGCCGACATTCATGCTTCTACTCTACAACAGTGAATGCGATGATAACAAGATCATGCTAGAATTGAAATGCAATGAACGTTGCCGAAAGTGGGAAGGGAAAGCGGGCTGGGGGCGGCGGCGGGTCGGGGGCGGGCTCCAGGAAGTCGTCTTCTACGGGGAGGAAGCTTGGGGGTGGGACCAAAACAATAAAAAAAGAGGTGGAATTGATCGGGGGCGAGATGGCGCTTACCAATTTTCAAACTGGACATATTCCCGTGTTACTCATCAGTCTTCGGCATGAAGCACCATCCACTTGCTTTTCGAGGTAATTACATAGAAAATATCTCCCACCCTCCGGGTTTGCAGAAGACATCACAATCGCACAGGGGAGATTTCATAACTGGAGGCGCCGCAGGGGGGCGCTGCCGACTGACACATGGGCGGGAATTTCGAATCTCGAGGGATAAATGCGCATTTTGCGAAGCAAATTCGAATCGGGGGGCCTCGAGCTGACTTGGAAGATTTTTATTATTCGTTCAGCGACAAAAACCGTTTGCGAAGTTTGACAAACACATCAAATTTGAAAAATCGATCAAAATATATTTGACAATGTACCAACAATTGGTTCACAGAGTGCCATCACTTTTTGCCAGTGTGTACAGCTGGTTGCATACACCTACAAATTAAGAACTGGGTGGAAATGGTTTTCAGTGACTAACTACCCTGTCTTTTGCTTCTTACGGTACCATTTATAGCATAATAAAAACACCATATTATTTTTCTGTAAGTAAACAAAAAAACATCCAAAAAAGGCGGAAAAAGCGACAAATAAAAAGAGACGAAAAAGGTAAAAAATGTTGCAGCAAAAACAACAAACATTTTCTGTTTCCAATTTGTCATGTTTAATAAAAATGAATCATGTACAGTAATTAGTAGTCATCACAAACCACCCACTATATCGGTGGTTTGTTGTAGTTATAAACTAGTAGTTAGTTAATTTAATTTAATTTAATTTTAATTTAATTTAATTTGACGGGAAAACCCCAATTTACAATACTATAAACTATACAAATTGAAATTATCTTAGAAAATACAAAATCAAAAAACTAATTAAGTAAATAAAATCTATATACTTATAAACCCTTCACTAATAATTTTCCTAAAGAATTGAAAATGAATTAAACTAAAATACTAACATTCTATCATACATTTTAATTTACAGACCTAAAATACACTTAATTCTAGATTTGAATTTTGATCTGCCACAATCAAATAATAAAAATGTTGAACTTTCCGCCATCCTATTAGCCGTTTCCATCATTCGTTTGATCGGATGATTTTGTGATTTGTTAGTCGTGGACACAGGTACCCTAAATATCACTGTGCTCCGAGTTTTTCTACTATTTGAAAGAGGTATTAGAAATGTTAGTTGACCCAACAAGCTAGGATTGTCTATGTAACCATTAACTAGCCCATGAAGAAAACAAACATCGTACATTTTACGTTGATCCTCTAATGACAATATTTTCAAATTACACATAATCCACGAATAATCCCCTCTTTGATGGACCCGATTAAGTTTGAATTCCAACAGTCGTAGAAATTTTTTCTGGACTCTTTCTAAAAGGTCGATATCTTTCCTATAAAATGGCGACCATACAGGAGAGCAATAGTGAAGATTTGACTGCACCAAAGAAAAATACAAGGTTTTAAGAGCAGAGACAGATAATGCACGACAGTGACGCCAAATGAGTCCCAGCATGCTTATTGATTTATGGAATATATAATGAAAATGTCCCTTGAACGTAAGTTTGGAGTCAAAAATGATTCCTAAATCTTTGACTTCATTTACACGAATTACTGAAGATTTCCCTAATTGGTAATCAAAATACAACACTGATTTGACATTAAAAAAAGAAATAATACAGCATTTTTTCAAATTCAACGGAAGTAAATTGCTCACTGTCCATTTATGCAGAGTACTTAGGTCTAGTTGAAAATCTGAAGCATCATCAACAGATTGAATAGTTCTAAATAATTTCAGATCATCCGCATATAGTAAAAATTTAGAGTTCTGAAATCCAATTGTCAAATCGTTAACGAAAATTTGAAACAGTATAGGTCCACAATGTGAACCTTGTGGTACCCCAGAAAATGCAAAGTATTGAGAAGACAGATGATTACCAATTTTAACTTGCTGAGATCTATTAAATAAAAACGATGTTAGCCACTTGATAGTCTTCCCACTGAAACCTAATTTAGTCATCTTAAAAATAAGTAACCTATGATTGACTTTATCAAACGCTTTTGAGAAATCTGCGTATAAAGAATCTATTTGTCGTTTTCGAGAGAAAGCATCATTAAGATAGCAGTAGTATTCCATCAAATTAGTTAATGTTGATCTATTTTTATAAAAACCCATTTTGTTTAACAGAAATAAGAGACGAAGAAATCCACTGTAATTGTTTGGCCACAATAAAATCTAATATTTTTGGTATTACTGACTGATTACATACCCCCCTATAATTATCAATTTTATTCCGATTGCCTGATTTGAAGATGGGAGTTACAAAGCTATTTTTCCACATCGTCGGAAAGTTCCCTAACGATAAAGAAGTCTTAAATAACAAAAACAATGGTAATGAGATTGAAAAAAACACAGTTTTTTATCAGAATACTAGGCACTCCGTCTGGACCAGGATTGCAAGAAGACTTTAATTGAGAGATATATTCAAATATTTCAACAAGATTTACATTTATTGAAACTATCAGAAACATTATTCGACCAGGTACTCTAGCTATTCGGCTATCTGCTAATATAATTGCTGGCCATTTACTAATAACCCTTCTAGGAAATACTTATGTTAGTAGTAGTCGAAAATTCCTGCTCTGGGTAACCACATGTACAAGGTGAGTTAAGTAGTGTCTTCCTTGTAAATAGTAAGATAAATAACCGTTTATTCATCATTAATATACATTAGTCCTTCAAGTTAAATAATTGTGTTCCGAAAAAAATATAGAATGTAATTAAAGTACTCTGACAGGTCAAATCTTGCAGCAGGTGATTTTTTCAATTTCTACTCTAGTTGGTCATAACCTTACAACCTCATAACACTTTGGTTGCGGTTTAAAAAAATCACACGGTATAAAATTGTTGTAGAAACTTAAGCCACGATGAATTTAAGCAACTTGATGCGGTTTTAGTATACTCCAACTTTATTGGAGTTTCTTTTTTTGCCTTTTTGTATAAATTATCAAATGTCACCAGTGCATTGTTCAAAATTTTGGTGCAAGTGAAATGCCCCGAGGAACAGCAATTTTAAAAACTAACAAAAAATGCGATTGATTTATATCGACTGTACAGGGCCGTCCGACGTTCCTTGCGAATTGTTGCGTTTACTTTGTCTAGTTTTGTTTGCGATATCTTCTATTTTTGCTGAATTAATTAGTTTTTGGCGATCCGAATTCGGCGCTTATCTGTCATTTCCGTCAAGTTTGCAACCGTGCGTTGCAACCTTTGCAACCAACTTCTCAAGCGATAAAATACCCAAATTACGTCGTTCCACTCGGAAACTTTGTGATAATCCCCCTCGAATCGTTTTTATCTGCGTTTTTCATGTTGAAGACACCGCTATCGCTCCGATCCTCGTAAAAACGGCGCCCGGCTTTTCCTCGTGCACCCATCAACCACCTCTTGTCAAACCAATCAAAATGGCGGACCCAGGTTACAAGAATCGCATCCAGAACTTCAAAAATAAGGGCAAAGACCAAGATGTAAGTACCCGGCGCCCCCTCGGGCCGCGAACCGGCCCCCTCCCTCCCCCCGCGCGCAGCCCGCGCGTCCCCCGACTCGCTCGACAGCCCCCTAATGCGTGTGCCCCCAGGAGATGCGACGGCGCCGCAACGAGGTCACGGTCGAGCTCCGCAAGAACAAGAGAGAGGAGACGCTCCAGAAGCGGCGCAACGTGCCCGTCGTGGACTCCACGGACGAAGACGACATCGAGAAGAGCCTCTCGAGCACCAACCTCGAGGAGCTGGTGGCGCAGGCGTCCATGGTGGACAACCCGGCGCTCCAGCTCATGGCCATCCAGACCGCGCGGAAGCTGCTCTCCTCGGACAGGAACCCCCCGATAGATGCGCTCATCGTCAGCGGGATCCTGCCCATCCTCGTCATGTGTCTGGAGCGGTACGACGAGCCCTCGCTGCAGTTCGAGTCGGCATGGGCGCTGACGAACATCGCGTCGGGGACGTCGGCGCAGACCAACCGGGTGGTCCAGGCGGGGGCGGTGCCGCTCTTCCTCAAGCTGCTGCACTCGCCGCAGCAGAACGTGTGCGAACAGGCGGTGTGGGCGCTGGGCAACATCATCGGGGATGGGCCCCAGCTGAGGGACTACGTTATTGAGCTAGGTGTTGTTAATCCGCTGCTTTCGTTTATTAAACCTGACGTACCCATCTCGTTCTTGAGGAATGTCACATGGGTTATTGTTAACTTGTGTAGGAACAAGGATCCGCCGCCGCCTATACAGACTATTAGGGAGTTGTTACCGGCTTTGAACGCGCTTATTCATCACACAGATATCAATGTGAGTACCTCAAGATGACTCATTTTATTTATTTTTTTTGTGTGTTGGGTGTGCTAAGTTAAGTTTGGGGCTGGACGGAGACGGCCTTCGAAATTTACACATTTTTTATTTCAATTTACGAAAATTCTATAAAATGCGTATTTTTACAAAAACGTGATTTGCCATTCATGTATGAAGAGGTGTTATTTTTGAAATTGTTGAAGATAAGAGTGCAAAGGCCGAAACGTGGCGCCGTCACTGAACAGTTCGACGAGCTCAATTTAGCAATTTAAAAATAGTGTCAAGGGCAAGGCGGAAGTTCGCGAGGGTCAAATATGCGACACAAGGTAGGCAACCAACAATACACTACCACCCACTACGATATTTTCACTAATTGGAAGGAAAACCCGTTAAAATTGATATGCAAATTGTGCTATTGTTTTATTGGGTAGGCAGAATACCAAACCACATTATATATGCATAATTAAAATACTGAAAAAAAAAACAAAATCAATCACTCCATTTTTTGAAATTTTGAGAACATAATGCTGTTTAAATTTTGTAAAGAAAAAACTCATTTGAAACACAGGCGTAGCATGCTTCTTTACATTTACTTTTATAATTATATTATATTAAAATAGGGTAGCAAAGACCGTCCAAAGTAATGCCTAGTGTATGAACGGAGTTTTGTCGAATAAAAACTCGTCAACTGCGAAGTTTCAATAGAATTTAGTAATACATAGATAAGTTTTATTTCCTATTGTTCTAGTCCCATAAATTTTAATTCGTCTTGATTAATTTGGTTTGATTATTATAAATCACATTTTTTCAATGTGATTTATAATAAACCTGACTCGATTTATAAAAATAGAAAATTTTCCAAGGATGTGGTTGTCATTTTCGTAAAAAAAATAGGAATAGAGTGTTTAGCGCAGATGCTGGTCTTGTCCTCCGCAAAACTGTGATAAGTATACATATAGTACTTTTTACTTCCCGAGCGTAAGCAAAGGAAGTATTGTAATCGAGTCCGTCGGCCGACTCTCTACTTTTACGTTTTCTCGATCTTTCATGACCCCTAGAAGACGAAGAAATAGGTCTCCCATTTCCGTCTGTCTGTCCGTCTGTCCGTCTGTCCGTCCGTCTGTCCGTCTGTCCGTCTGTTGTCACGGATTTTTATTAGACAGATAATCTCCGAAAGTACTCGACCGATTGTTGTGAAATTTTGTACTTATATTAAGAATATCATGTAGATGGTAAAACGCTAACCAAAATTTGTCGAATCATCCCCACCACTAAAGCGATGACGTCACTTCAAAATTGTACATAGTAAATGGGTTTTCAATTGTATAAAATAACATAGTCCTACACATGTAGTTTACAACTCTGAATCGACTTTTCACCCGAAACGTCCAGATTTTTGGAAAAAAAATCAAAATTATAAAACAACATTTTGAAATTTAATTTTTAATCTGCTGACCAGAATGCTTTGAAATGTTGCAGATGTTTTAAGGCTATAAAGAGCATCATAAATCTTTAGTCAAAAAATATTTGCTTATCCCCTCCAAAAACTTGATGACGTCAGCTCAAAAGTTTGTGGAATAAATCATATCTAAAATGTACAAAATATGATGAGTCTGTACTTGTGAACTATCACTCCATTCATATTTTTTGGATTTGCATATACAGGGTGACTCAAAAAAATTAATGAATGCGTAAATATATTTTATTGATTTAATCAGGAACTACAAAACCGAATGCTCTGAAATCTTGCAGATGTTTTAAGGTCATAAAGAGCATAATAAATGTTTAGTCAAAATATATTTGCTTATCCCCTCCAAAAACTTGATGACGTCAGCTCGAAAGTTTGCCGAATAAATCATATCTAAAATGTACAAAATATGATGAGCCTGTACTTGTCATTTATCACTCCATTCATATTTTTTGGATTTGCATATACAGAGTGACTCAAAAAAATTAATGAATACGTAAATTTATTTTATTGCTTTAATCAGGAACTACAAAACCGAATGCTTTGAAATCTTGCAGATGTTTTAAGGTTATAAAGAGCATAATAAATTTTTAGTCAAAATATATTTGGTTATCTTCTACAAAAAACTGATGACGTCAGCTCAAAAGTTTTCCGAATAAATCGTATCTAAAATGTACAAAATATGATGAGTCTGTACTTGTGATTTATCATTCCATTCATATTTTTGGATTTGCATATGCAGGGTGACTCAAAAAAATTAATGAAGGCGTGAATTTATTTTATCGATTTAATCAGGAATTACAAAACCGAATGCTTTGAAATCTTGGGAATATTTTAAAGTTATTATAAGCATGGTAAACTTTTGTTCAAAATGTATTTCTTCATCCCTCCTAAAAAAATTGATGACGTCACCCTTAAATTTTGCTGAATAAATCCTATCTAAAATGCAAAAAATACGATGAGTTTGTACTTGTGATTTATCATTCCATTCATATTTTTTAGATTTTCTTAAGAGGTGGTTCAAAAAAATTAATGAAGTCAATTTATTTTATTGATTAAATTAAAGGCAACACTTATTATTAGTATTACACCCCAACCAACCCAATTTGGTAGACACAAAATTTGTTAAAGGAAAAACTCGGTTGAAACATAAGGGTAGCACGCTTATTTACATCGACTTTAACATTACAGACCTGCATTTGTTTTATGCGTTCACTTGATTCCGCGAATGTGAAATAGACATGTTTATAATCAACCAATTGTGAATTTCACCGTCAAGAATTAAAATAAAACCCAATGTTTTATATAATAAGCGGAAGTCGAAGCAATAAAACCGACGGTCGTTTTGTTTACAGTTTCTGTGTTTGGCTCTCACGTATGCTGTTACGCCTGTCATCTTAAATTAACAATGTTTATACATACACGATTTTCAGTTGCCTCTGATACGTAGGTATACGTGAGTAAATTGTTTCGTTATTTTATTGATTATTACAAATCAATATTCAAACGACCCAATTCATTTTCCCGAAAATTTGAGAATATAATAATTTTATTCTTAGTATTACACTACATCTATCCCAACTGATATACGTGTCCTTGCAAAAATGTTGATGACGTCATCGCAATTTTTTTTTAAATTCCCACTACAAAAATGTAATGAGAAAAAAAACACAATAGGCATGCAGTCGTCAAGTTTCCGACAGCGAGGGAAGTACTGTCTAAACTCTTTAGACCAATTTTTTTCGTGAAGTTTGCTAAAGCTTGACGTGCTTCTCATTTCTGCCCCAGATCTTGGTGGACACAGTATGGGCATTAAGCTACCTCACCGACGGCGGCAACGAGCAAATCCAGATGGTGATCGACAGCGGCGTCGTGCCCAAGCTCATCCCGCTCCTCAGCCACAAGGAGGTGAAAGTGCAGACCGCCGCCCTGCGCGCCGTGGGCAACATCGTCACGGGCACCGACGAGCAGACCCAGGTCGTGCTCAACTGCGACGCCCTCTCGCACTTCCCCGCCCTGCTCTCCCACCCCAAAGAGAAAATCTGCAAGGAGGCGGTCTGGTTCCTGTCGAACATCACCGCCGGCAACCAGATGCAGGTGCAGGCGGTGATCGACGCCGGCTTGCTGCCCAAGATTATCAACAATCTGAGCAAGGGCGACTTCCAGACGCAGAAAGAGGCGGCTTGGGCCATCAGCAACCTGACGATCGGCGGGAATAAGGAGCAGGTGGCGACCCTGATCCGGGAGGGCGTGATTCCGCCGTTCTGCGACCTGCTGAACTGCAAGGACGCGCAGGTCATCCAGGTGGTCCTCGACGGGATCAACAACATGCTGAAGATGGCGGGGGCGGAAGTGGAGCAATTGTGTACGATGATCGAGGAGTGCAATGGGTTGGACAAGATCGAGCTGCTGCAGAATCATGACAATATCGAGATTTACAAAATTGCGTATGATATCATCGAGCAGTACTTCAGCGGAGACGTAAGTTTTGAGGTTTGTGGTGGAGAGGGGTTTGGACGGTTTTTGGGTTTCAGGCTGACGACGATCCGAATCTGGCGCCCACCGCCGGTGAGACCGGCTTCCACTTCGATCCCAACACGAACGTACCGAACGAGGGGTTCAAATTTTGATCGGTTCTATTGCTCAGAGTAACAGTTTTGATCTAGCGCGTTTGCTTCCTTTCCCTTGTTTTGTCCCGGATTATGTACGCTCATTTTGACTGTTTGTGTACATATAGAATTTTTTATAAATAACTGCACGTGATTCCGGCAGGATATTTATTTAATTTAAAGAGGACCGACGGCACGTCAGGTCGTGGAACGGTTTTATTTTTTTACGCGTAAAATTTAAATTAGGTAAATATCGGGGATCGAAATGACCGTACATAAGGAAAATCTGAGCATGGTCGTGCAATCAAAACAATATGGATTTAACAAAATTTTAACGGGGGCGTCATGCACAGATTTTTTGTATATTTTATGATATTAACGTTTTTTGGTAAACATCATGAATATTTACATGGTTTTTTTAGTTTTACATTTTGTTGCCGGTAGCAATATACATAATGTTTATCGAAAAGGAGGATACATTTAGGATACAATGAAATTTTAATTGACTGGTCATCTTTAATTAATATTAATAAGCTATTATGTAATAAAAATTATAGTTTCTTGCTTACCATTGTACTATGGTAGTTAATCGTTTTAAGTAAAATATAATTTAAAATAAAGCGATTCTTCTTTTGTCGACTTTTCTTAACGAACACGACAATTAAAAAAACAAACAACAAAGATTGATTTGTTAGAACACGACCGACTGAAAAGAGGTCAGAAAATGCAGCCATGGTTTTTATTTTTTCCGTACCCAAACATGGAAACAATTATCAGCATCACTAACACAATTATCGTGTTTACTACTAAATTAGCGCCGTTAATGTAAGGCCACACGAGAGTATAGCATTACACATATCAGAATAAACAGACAAATTCGCAGTGTTTCACAATAATTGTAATTCCAAGTCGAGGAATTTTAATAGTTTAATTAAATTTAGCGCGTGGTATTTCGTACTCTACGTGGGCGTATAATTGTCTAATTGCATTAAGAAGCCCTAAATATATTTCTAATAAAAGCGGAATCGTCAAGATTTGCCTCATTTTTGTGCAAAGTCCAGTGCTAGTGCCACAAAATGGTGTACAACTTCCGAGTGTTCAAAAAACAGTCCCCGAATGCCAAACTCACTTTATACTTGGGAAAGCGCGACTTCGTAGACCACATTTCGGGGGTGGAACCCATAGGTAACTATTTTTAGCTACCCCCGTGTTTTTTGATTAAATAAATCCGCAGACGGCGTCGTGTGCATCGACCCCGACTACCGCGACCGCAAGGTCTTCGGCCAAGTCATTTGTAGCTTCCGCTACGGCCGCGAGGAAGACGAGGTCATGGGTCTCAACTTCCAGAAGGACTTGCACCTAGCGACCCACCAGATCTACCCGCCCCCTGATAAACAAAACCTGTCTAAGTTGCAGGACCGCCTCAGCAAGAAGCTCGGTCCCAACTGCCACCCTTTCACTTTCGCGCTGCCGGCCAACGCCCCGGCGTCCGTCACCCTGCAGCCGGGGCTCGACGACGAGGGGCAGCCTTGCGGGGTGCACTATTTCGTGAAGTTGTTCGTGGGGGAGTGCGAAACCGACAGGTCCCACAAGAGGAGCACGGTTTCTATGGCCATCAGGAAGGTGCAGTATGCGCCGTCCAAGCAGGGCAAGCAGCCGTGCACCGTGGTGCGGAAGGACTTTATGCTGAGTCCCGGGGAGCTGGAGCTGGAGGTGACGCTGGATAAGCAGCTGTATCATCACGGGGAGAAGATAGCGGCGAATATTTGTATTCGGAATAATAGCAATAAGGTGGTGAAGAAGATGAAGGTCATGGTGCAGCAGGGGGTGGATGTGGTGCTGTTCCAGAATGGACAGTACAGGTCGACGGTGGCGAGCGTGGAGACACAGTAAGAGGGGTGTGGGGGGTAAATTGTTGTATTCAAAGTATGAAAAATGTCTGGAAGTAAAAACTTTCATTCTTATCAAGTTAAATATCTCGTTTTGGGATTGTTTATTATTAAAAGTTTCGTTTTTGCATGAAAATTTATATAAAATATGTTGTTTTAAGTGTGGTTCTAAGTTTAAACAAGCATTTTTTATTGTTTGCATAGGCAACCAATAATACCGCTATGTTGTGACATTCTATTATTATTTGTTGACACGTTGTTGGGCCAGTGTGTATTATTATTTGTTTTTGGTAGATTTTGGTATTGATTTGACTCTTTCGAACGAAAATGAGTTACCCAATTTAAATTTCTTAGGTAGGACCATCTACATTCTGCCATTATTTTGAATAAAATTTAGCTTGAATTTTACTTCTGAAACTCAACCCATTTCGTCTCCTTTTTTATTTAATTTTTTTGTTTCCCTTTTTTATCTTTTTATTGCGTTTTTTGTATAATCTTTTTTCTACACTTATTTGTCGCCTTCTTTTTATTGCATTTGCTTGTTGCTTTCATCATGTTCCCTTTTGTGTTTCCCTCTTTTACCCTGTTTATTGTCATCCTTTTGTGTCACTCGTCATTATTTTCGCTTTTTTTCAATTTTTTGTCCCCTTTTTTATGATTTTTGTCTTTTTTTACACCTTTTCCAATTGCCTTTTCTTGGTCAACTTTTTTTTGTCACTTTGTTTAATTGTAGCCTTTATTTAACACTCTTGCGTCAGTTTTTTTCTGCTGCTTTTTATCGCTTTTTCCCGTTTTGACCGCTTTTTTGGTGCCCTTTTTTATATTTTATCGTTTTATATTTTCATCGTGTTTTCACATTTTTTTTCGCCTTTTTTTTCGTTGTTTTCTAATCGTTTTTTTTAATCGCTTTTTTGTCTGCTTTTTGTGTCCCTTTTTTAGTTTCCCCCTTTTTTACGTTTTTTATTGCATTTTTTGTTACCTTTTTTTTTACATTTTTTTATTGCTTTCTTTGTCATTTGTACCTTTTTTTGTCGTCTTTTTTATGCTCTTATACTGGGTGTCTGCAAAACCAGTCGTTATGTACGGAGGTTTGGAGAGTCCTAAAAAAATAATAAAAAAATTCTTCATGCTGTAGATTACGAAAAAAACGTAATTTTATAAAAGTAAATTTGGCGACACTGTCCGCACCTAATGCCTGAATACCTCTTGCGAGAAGAGAGGGCGGGTGGGCGGGGCTAGTACCTGCTAAGATAAAACTGATTTTGGCAAATGACATACCCTCGAATAAAAGAGAGGGTGGGTGGGTGGGGCGGCTAAAATAAAACCGATTTTGGCAAATGATATACCCTACAAGAAAAGAGAAGGTGGGTGGGCGCGGCTTATTGTCATCCTTTTGTGTCATTCTTGTTTTTGGTAAGTTTTTTTCGGTTTTTTCACTTTTTTGCCCCCTTTCTTTAGGATTTTTATGCCACTTTTTGTCGTTTTTTTTTTTCTATTGCCTTTTTTTATCCCGTTGTCACTGCTACATTGCAACCTTTTTTTTGCTTTTGTATCAGTTTTTTGTGCTGCTTTTTATCGCTTTTTTTACATTTTATGTTTTTTTGTCGCCGTTTTTTATACCTTTTTTATCACTTTTTTGTCGCTTTTTTTTATTTTTTTCTACATTTTTAGCGTTTTTTCATAACTTTTTGGTACCATTTTTGTCTCCTTTTTTTGTCATTAATGTTTTTGGTCACTTTTTTGCCTTTTAAGGCGCATTTTCTTGTCTTCTGACGACCTATTTTTTGTCTCTTTCTTTGTTGCCATTTTTTTTTATTTTTTGGCTAGTTTGTATCTCTTTTCATGGACTTTTTTCTCGCTACTTTATCCTCTTTTTTGTTGTCTTTTTTGTCGTTTTTTACCACCTTTTCCTTCCGTTTTAGTCGCATTTTTTCTATCACACATGTTTGTCACCCTTTTTTGGTCGCTTTTTTATCATGTTTTTGTAGCCTTTTTTTTATTCCTTTTTTTTGTGTCGCTCTTTTTTTAACTCATTTTTTTTAAGTGACATTTGTAACCTATTTTGTGTCTTCTTTGTCGCCCTTCTTTTCGTAATTTTTTGTCGCCCTTTTTTTGTCCATTTTTGTATCTCCTTTTTTTCTGGACTTTTTTCCCTTTTTTTTCTCTCTGTTTTATCCTCTTTTGTGGTCATTTTTTGCGCCTTTTTCTGTCGCATTTTTATGGCCTTCTTTCTGTCGCTTTTGTTTTTACGTTTTTTGTGGCCTTTTTTGTGTTTTTATGCCTTTTTTGTCTCCCTTTTTTACTCAGATTTTATAAGTGTTTTTTTTTTAATTTTTATCGTCACTTACTTTTTCCGTTTTTCTTGCCACTTTTTCTAACTCCCACTTCTTTAGTTGCATTTTTTGTGGGCTTTTTTGAATTTTTATTTTTCTTCTTCTTTTTGTGTCGCTTTTTTACTTCTTTTTTTTTGAAGTAGCATTTTTTGTGGCCTTTTTTCATTTTTTCTTCCCTTTATTTTTGTCCCTTTTTGTTTGGAACATTTTGATCACTTTCTCTGATTCCCATTTTTTTAATCGCATTTTTTGTTGCTGTTTTATCATCTTTTTTATTGCTTTTTTGTCCCATTTTTACTCGTTTAGTCGCATTTTTTTATAGCTTTTTGTTATGTTTTTTTCATTCGTATTTCTCTTTTTGTGAGTTTTTTTTCGCTTTTTTTTCTTGTTACTTTATTCTCATTTTTTGTTGTTGTTTTTTTTTTGTCTTTTTACCACTATTTGCTTCCTTTTTAGTCGCATTTTTTCTATTACAATTCTTGTCGCCCTTTTTGGTCGCTTTTTTATCTATTTTTTGTGTCCGTTTTTGTTACTATTTTTTTAACTCATCTTCTTTTTGTGTCACTTTTTCTACTCCTTTTTTTTAAGTGGCATTTTTATGATCTATTTTCTCTTTTTCTTTGTCGCCCTTCTTTTTATAATTCTTTGTCGCCATTTTTTTTTCTCAATTTTTTTATCGCCTTTTTTTGTGACTTTCCCTTTTTTCTCGCTTTTTTTCTCTGTTTTATCCTCTTTTGTTGTTGTCTTTTTTATAGCTTTTTCTATCGCATTTTTATGGCCTTCTTTCCGTTGCTTTTTTTTATCACATTTTTTGTAGCCTTTTTTAGTATTTATTAATTCCAGTTTTTTGTGGATTTTGATCGTCACTTGCTTTTTCCGTTTTCTCTGCGGCTCCCACTTTTTTTGTTGCATTTTTGTGGGCTTTTTTGGATTTTTATCTTTCTTTTTCTTTTTGTGTCGCTTTTTTTTTACTTCTTTTTTTTAAATGGCTTTTTTTCGTTTTTTTTTGGAACATTTTTAATCACTTTTTTTGGCTTTTTTTGACACTCTCTAATTCCCATTTTTTTAGTCGCATTTTTTGTGGCCTTTTTTTGTATTTCTATCTTTCTTCTTTTTGTGTCTCTTTTTTTACTTTTTTTTAGTCGGTCGTATTTGTGGTCTTTTTTGCTTTTTTCGTCGCTTTCTTTTTGTCCCTTTTTATTTGGAGCATTTTTCAAATCACATTTTTTCTCACTATTTTATCATCTTTTTCGTTACTTTTTTTGTCACATTTTTTACTCCTTTTCTTAGTCGCATTTTTTTGTATTGCGTTCTTTATAGCCCTTTTTTTGGTCCCATTTTAATTCCATTTTTATCATTGACATTTTTGTTATGTTTTTTTCATCGCCTTATCGGAGTTATTGCCAACTTTTTTTTTCCACCTTTTCTTTGTCTTTTTTGCTCCTTTTTCCATTGTCTTTTTTGTTTACCTTATTCGACCTTTTTAATCTCGATTTTTGTCACCGTCTTTGTAGTCTTTTTTGTTTTTGTTAGTCTTTTTTGGTCCTTTCTTATCGTATTTTTGTTGCCCTTTTTTCACCTTTCACCGCTTTTCAGTAAATTTTTTGTACCCCATTTTTATCGTTTGATTTTGGCAAATGACATATACTCTAAGAAAAGAGAGGGTGGGTGGGCGGGGCTAGTACCTGCTAAGATAAGACTGATTTTAGCAAATAAGGTATTTTTTAAGAAATTTAATTAAATTATTATAAGAAAAAACACTAGAGGCTCCAAAGCAGTTTCAAATTCTTTCCAAACAGGAATACCTAGAACCTCAAAATTGTTTTAAATTTTTCTAAAAAAAACGGAGTCCCAAAATTAACTCAAAATCAGGTCAGTTCAGAATTTTGCAGAAACCGAACACCAAGTCCTCCAAAATTGTTTGAAATAATTTACAAAAAAAAATCTCTATGGGCGCCCAAAATAATACACCAGGGGTACACAAGAGTCTCTCGAATTAAAAAAAAAAACACTGCGGCACTCAAGACTTTTTCAAATTAATAAAAAATAAAATACTAAAAGCTCAAAAGATTTTTCCAAGTTCGTCCAGCAACAAAACATCAGATCCCTTTAAATTTATCCAAAATGTGAGAATTCGGCATTTTCCAAACACCCGGTATATCGTTTCCTTTTCACCTTTTTTTTTGAGCCGTTTTTTTTTTCATTCTTTTGTCGCTTTTTTGTTCTACCTTTTGTACATTTTCTTTTATTGCTGTTTTGTATAACTTTTTTCACGATTGTTTGTGTTTTTTGTTGTTCATTTGTAACTAAAATGGAGTATAAAGCACCATTTTTACAATTTTTTTGGTTACTTTCTCTTTTTCTCACTTTTTTGTAGCGTTTGTAGGATCATCATAAAAAAATAAAACCCGCAGCCTCTTTCAGGTTGGTACACATGGTAACTTGTCTTTCGCACAGCCTCTTTAGCTCAAAAACAACCAAGAAATAATAGTTGTTTAATTATTGTCAGATTGTACAAACTTACTGTTTAAAAAAGTACTAATTTTGTAATCTAGGGAGGGATGTCCCATCCAGCCTGGATCTACACTGCAAAAAATCGTCTACTTGGTACCACTGCTCTCGTCCAACAAAGACAGACGAGGAATTGCCTTAGACGGACAACTAAAGCGCCAAGAAACTAACCTGGCATCAACTACACTGTAAAAAGTGCGTTATAATTGTGTGCACTTTTTCAAATTTTTGTTTCCAGGTTGGCATCTCCCGATCAACGCGACGCTTTCGGGATAATCGTTTCTTACGCTGTTAAGGTGAAACTGTATCTGGGGGCCTTAGGTGGAGAGCTGTCTGCCGAATTGCCATTTATTCTGATGCATCCTAAAGTATATTTTCGAAAAATTTTAGTTTTTGAAATTACTAGATTCGTTTTTAGCCCGACAATCGTGGAAAAATGATCCATGCTGACAGCCAGGCCGAAGTGGAAATGTTTAGACAGGACACCATCGACAAAGAAATAGATGAGTAGCGACAACTAGTATGGTATAAGCGGTTGCGCCTTAATTATATATGTCCTTGCCCTATTATTATCTGAAGTTTGTAACGTTATATCACATTTGTATCTGCATAGGTGCATATTTATTTAAATAAATCCAGCTTGCATAATTTAAATAACTAATAAGCTTCATTCAAACACAGCTTTGCAATATATTAACAAAAATTTATTCCTCAAAGACACAAAAAATTTCTCTACAACCCGGACAAGCCTTTACAATAGTATTTTGACTAAAACCGCCGACAAAATCCAAAAGTAGATACTCAAGTCCAGCGACAGCCTGTGCGCCGCCCCCGTCGCCTCCCCGTCGTACAAGCTCGTCTCGTTGTTGCACGGAACCTCCACCGACGGACACACCTTGCACACCAAATTCTTGACCTTCCCCGTCATCAGCGCGCACACCTCCTTCTCCTCCTCCCCCACGGTGACCTTCTCGGGCACGCAGCCCCTGATCTCGGCCTTGTTCGTGTCTGCGCAAACCCGGAACCGTCAGTGCTTACCGCACTCGTGCGACTACTCACCCCCGTCCTTCAGCTGCAGCATCAGGCAGTGGGTGTACTTCTCCGGGTTGTCGAAGTCCTCGGCGGCGTCGGCGGTCGCGTTGTCCCACACCATCTTGGCGTCATCTTTCAGGCCTAGTGCGCTCATCTTGTCCGCGCTGCAGTCCATCGTGTCGCTGCGGGCGCCTTTGCAGCCCGCGGACACGCACTTGGCGCACATTTTCTTGGCGGCGGCGGCGGCATCGGCGGGCTCGCCTTCGTCTTGTCGGCGGTACCGCCAGTTGCCGCTAACCAGGTCTGAAGCAGAGAGTTGACTTTGGGGGAGGCGTGGCGGGGACTCACCTGGTACTGCGAGTAGAGTCGTTAAAATGCATATGAAGGATAAAAACAACTTCATTTTGGGGCAAACAGACAATATTTCCGAAATGTAGAAAAAACTTCACATTGGGACGCTGAGAAAAAAGTTGAAGTTTGGCGAAAATCAATAGGTCTCCAAGGGGAATGAGCGAGCGGAGAATAACACACTTGATGTAGAATTTCGAATTGGAAAAGGGGTTTTTCTGCTAGAGTCTAAGAGTAAAAACTATAACGATAATGTCTTGAGAAGAATTTGAAAAAATTTCGGGGCCACTGGTGTTTTGGTTTTGAAAGATCCCTGGATTTTTGCGTTTGAAAAAATCGTAGGGGTCCCTGACACGGCGTTTTTGGAAGCGTTTGGAAGAATCTTGGAGGCTCCTAGTGTTGAATTTGAAAGAACCTCGTGTCCTCGTGTTGTGCTTTTGGACGAATTTGAAATAATCTCCTGGTGGTTTGTTTAAAAAAAAAAAATTGAAAGAATATCTTAGGGGTAGTTGACAGAATCTCGGAGGCTCCTAGTGGTTTTTGTTTTGAAATAATCCTAGGTGTATTTGGTGTTTTGTTTTTGAAAGATTCCCGGAGACCTCTAGGGTTTTTGGTTTTAAAAAAATTTTAAGGACCTTTAGGGGTTTCTGATCATATTCTGTTTTTAGAAGCATTTGAAAGAATCTCGGAGGCCCCTAGTGATTTTATTTTAAAATAATTTGAAAGAATCTTAGGGGTTTCTTATGTTGCGTTTTTGAAAGAATCTGGAGGTCTCTAGTATTTTTGGTTTTAAAAGAATTGAAAGAATCTCTAAGGCCTCTAGTGTTTTTGTTTTAAAAGAATTTGAAAGAATCTCGGAGGCTCCTAGTGATTTTTGTTTTGAAATAATCCTAGGGGTATTTGGTGTTTTGTTTTTGAAAGAATCCCGGAGGCCTCTAGGGTTTTTGGTTTTAAACAAATTTTAAGGACTTTTAGGGGTTTCTGATCATATTCTGTTTTTAGAAGCTTTTGAAAGAATCTCGGAGGCCCCTAGTGATTTTATTTTAAAATAATTTGAAAGAATCTTATGGGTTTCTTATGTTGCATTTTTGAAAGAATCTGGAGGTCCCTAGTATTTTTGGTTTTAAAAGAATTGAAAGAATCTCTAAGGCCTCTAATGTTTTTGTTTTAAAAGAATTTGAGAGGATCTTCGAGGCTTCCTGGTGTTCTGTTTTTGAAAGAATTTTGGAGATCCCTAGTTTTTGTTTCCCGGTGTTCTATTTTTGGAAATCTTTGAAAGAAACTTGGGGCCCTATAGGTTTTTTTTTATTTTAAAAAGAATTTGAAAGATTCTTTGGGGTTTCTAGTGTTTTGTTTTTGGAAGCATTTGAAAGAATCTCGGAGGCTCCTAGTGATTTTTGTTTTGAAATAATCTTAAGGCTGCTTGGTGTTTTATTTTTGAAATAATCCCAAAGGCCCCTAGAGTTTTTGGTTTTAAACAAATTTTAAGGACTTTTAGGGGTTTCTGATCATATTCTGTTTTTAGAAGCATTTGAAAGAATCTCGGAGGCCCCTAGTGATTTTATTTTAAAATAATTTGAAAGAATCTTAGGGGTTTCTTATGTTGCGTTTTTGAAAGAATCTGGAGGTCCCTAGTATTTTTGGTTTTAAAAGAATTGAAAGAATCTCTAAGGCCTCTAATGTTTTTGTTTTAAAAGAATTTGAGAGGATCTTCGAGGCTTCCTGGTGTTCTGTTTTTGAAAGAATTTTGGAGATCCCTAGTTTTTGTTTCCCGGTGTTCTATTTTTGGAAATCTTTGAAAGAAACTTGGGGCCCTATAGGTTTTTTTTTATTTTAAAAAGAATTTGAAAGATTCTTTGGGGTTTCTAGTGTTTTGTTTTTGGAAGCATTTGAAAGAATCTCGGAGGCTCCTAGTGATTTTTGTTTTGAAATAATCTTAAGGCTGCTTGGTGTTTTATTTTTGAAATAATCCCAAAGGCCCCTAGAGTTTTTGGTTTTAAACAAATTTTAAGGACTTTTAGGGGTTTCTGATCATATTCTGTTTTTAGAAGCATTTGAAAGAATCTCGGAGGCCCCTAGTGATTTTATTTTAAAATAATTTGAAAGAATCTTAGGGGTTTCTTATGTTGCGTTTTTGAAAGAATCTGGAGGTCCCTAGTATTTTTGGTTTTAAAAGAATTGAAAGAATCTCTAAGGCCTCTAGTGTTTTTGTTTTAAAAGAATTTGAAAGAATCTCGGAGGCTCCTAGTGATTTTTGTTTTGAAATAATCCTAGGGGAATTTGGTGTTTTGTTTTTGAAAGATTCCCGGAGACCTGTAGGGTTTTTGGTTTAAAAAAAAATTTAAGGACCTTTAGGGGTTTCTGATCATATTCTGTTTTTAGAAGCATTTGAAAGAATCTCGGAGGCCCCTAGTGATTTTATTTTAAAATAATTTGAAAGAATCTTAGGGGTTTCTTATGTTGCATTTTTGAAAGAATCTGGAGGTCCCTAGTATTTTTGGTTTTAAAAGAATTGATAGAATCTCTAAGGCCTCTGGTGTTTTTGTTTTAAAAGAATTTGAAACAATCTTCGAGGCTTCCTGGTGTTCTGTTTTTGAAAGAATTTTGGAGATCCCTAGTTTTTGTTTCCCGGTGTTGTGTTTTTGGAAATATTTGAAAGAATCTCCGAAACCCCTAGTGCTTTTTGTTTAAAAGATTTTGAAAGAATCCTAGCGGCTCCTAGGGTGCTATTTTTAAAAACATTTGAAATAATTTCGGAAGCCCTAGTGTTTTTTATTTTAAAAGAATATGATAGAATGTTAGTGGTTCCTGGGGTTCTGTTTTTGAAAGAATCTTGCCAGCCCCTAGCGTTCTTTTGTTTTAAATAAAATTTGAAAGAATCTTTGGGGTTCCTAGTGTTTTGTTTTTGGAAGCATTTGAAAGAATCTCAGAAACCCCTAGTGCTTTTTGTTTAAAAGATTTTGCAAGAATCCTAGCGGCTCCTAGTGTGCTATTTTTGAAATCATTTGAAATAATTTCGGAAGCCCTAGTGTTTTTTATTTTAAAAGAATTTGATAGAATGTTAGTGGTTCCTTGGGTTCTGTTTTTGAAAGAATCTTGGCAGCCCATAGCGTTTTTTTTGTTTTAAATAAAATTTGAAAGAATCTTTGGGGTGTGTTTTGTTTTTGGAAGCATTTAAAAGAATCTCGGACCCCCTAGTGGCTTTTGTTTTAAAAAAATTCGAAAGAATCCAAGGGGTTCCTGATGTTTTGTTTTAAAAGAATTTGAAAGAATCTAAGGGGTTTCTGATGTTTGGTTTTTGACAGAATCTCGGAGACCTATAGTGTCTTTGGTTTTAAAAGAATTTTAAAGAATTTTAGGGGTTTCTGGTGGTGTTCTTCTTTTGGAAGCATTTGAAAAAATCTTGCGGGCCCTTCGTGTTTTTTGATTTAAAACAATTTGAAAGAATCTCAGAGGGACCTAGTGTTCTGTTTATGAAAACATTTGAAAGAATCTCAGAAGCCCCTAGTCCTTTTTGTTTTAAAAGAATTTGAAAGAATCTTAGCGGTTCCTATAGTGTTCTATTTTTGAAAACATTTGGAAGAATTTCGGAAGCCTCAGGGTTTTTTGTTTTAAAAGAATTTGACAAAATGTTAGGTTTTCCTGGTGTTCTGTTTTTGAAAGAATCTTGGAAGCCCTTAGTGTTTTTTTGTTTTAAATAGAATTTGAAAGAATCTTGGGGTTTCCGGTGTTTTCTTTTTGGAAGCATTTGAAAGAATCTCGGAGGTCCTTAATGGTTTTTGCTTTAAAAGAATCTGAAAGAATCCCGATGTTCTGTTTTTGGAGCATTTGAAAAAATCACGTAAGCTCCAAATCTTTTTATTTTAAAAAGAGTTTGAAAGAATCTTTGGGGATTTCTGGTGTTCTTTTTCTGGAAGCATTTGAAAGCGTCTAGAAGACTCCTAGTATTTTTGGTTTTAAAAGAATTTGAAAGAATTTTACGGCTTTCTGATCATGCTCTGTTTTTGGAAGCATTTGAAAGAATTTCGGAGGCTCCTAGTGTTTTTGTTTTAAAAGAATTTGAATGAAGCTTAGAGGTTTCTAGTGTTCTAGTTTTTGAAGAATTTGAAAGAATCTCGAGGCCCCAAGCTTTTTTTGTTTTAAAAGAATTTTCTTAGGGGTTCTTGATGTTCTATTTTTGACAGAATCCCGCACGCCTCTAGTGCTTTTAGTTTTAAAAGAATTTGATATTGTTTCAGGAGTTTCTGATGGTGTTCTGATTTTTGGAAGCA